TTAAAACTAAGGTAAGTAGACTAAAAAAGTTAGTTTAAATCGGAGAACAAGAATTCACTGCACTATGGAAATCATTTCATTATATATTTGAAGTGGGGAGTAGGGAGACTGGAGCAAAAGCTACCAGTCTGAAAATCAAAGTACAACTTAGATATTGCCTGTTTCTGAGAAAGTCTCTGATGCAGGGATTGGTTCCTTTTTCTGTTTTTCCTAGTTATTGCTTATTGATTTCAGTAGAGTATGGCCTGTAGAAAAATCGGTTACATAGCCATTCAAATTTGCTTGAAAAACTGTATCCAAATGCAATGTGAATTATTTTCTATTTCTTGACGGAAAACATCTTTTTTTTAATAGTACAAAAATTCAGGAATTAACGATATTCTTTTGAAATACCATTAATATACAATATTTGATAACCATGATTCCCACTTATTAACTCAAAAAACAGATGGATTTTCTGAATACTATCCAACTCTTAGCATTACTGTTTTAAAAGAAAATAGTTAAACCATAAATCAGAGATTTGTCATTTCTGTGCATGGTGTGGAGGACTGTCATATTTTTACATAAAATAAATATGATTTGTGCTGATTCTAGAAGAGATTAAACTTTAAGTGAATGTATTATAAAGTGAGAAAAACACCAACAAAAATAAGCACTCAACTCAAAAATACAAAAAATAACAACATACGAAAAATAGAAGAAAACAATGACAAGGCAGAAAATAATAAAATATGAAAGAAAAATTATGAATAAGGAAGGAAAGAAGGAGAGAAGGAAGAAAAGAGATTAGATAAATAATACAGAAAGAAATGATTTGATTTATGGTGGTTCCTTTATACTGGATGAACAGAAAAGGATTCTTTGAGGAGTGGTGTTTGAGTTCAGCCCTAATTCAAGGCAAAGCCTGCAGTTCAAAGACTATGGGGAAAGAGAGTCCAGAGAAAATCAGCAGCTAGTGCGAAGACTCAAACTTGTGAACAAGTCAAGAGATATAATCTATAAGACATGGATGTTGATAGGTGGGGAAAGTAAGAAATTGATGATAACTGTCATATTTTTTGACTAAGCAATTAGATGGAAGGTGCTACCTTTTCCTAAGGGAAAATCAAGCAGGTTTGGCAAAGAGGAAATCTAGGGTTCTATTCTGGCCATGTTAAGTTTGAGATGTCTATTAGACATCCATGTAGAGATATCAAGGAGATAATAAGAATACATACATACATACATACTTGGATATACAAGTATAGAGTTCCAAAGAAAAATTAGGCTGGAGATTCTGATTAGAGAGGTGCCTGGAAAGGACACTGATGTGCCCAAGATAATCTGACCTTGGCCATGACTCCTAAGGTCACGACCCTGCTCATAAAGTTACTATGAAGTACTTCATGTGAGAGTAAATGACTTCAATTTTTTTCCTAAAGCTAGTCAGCTTTCCTGATATTTTGAACCAAAGAGAAGCATTTTTTTTAAAAGGAGTAATATTGTATAGTTAGTGGTACCATAGGAGAAGAAATTTTACTTACTAGTTCCAGGATTTACAAATCTACTTACTTTACTCAGCAGGTGGATAATCTTTTTGAAGAGTGAGAACATAACCCTTCCAATCCACTGGATAAAGGTTTATATAAGTTTTGTCTACCTAAACTAAGATACATCTTCATACAGTAACAAGTTACCTTATCACTTACCATTTGTCTTCACACTGGTATAAATAATGAATTAACTATATTCTCATTTGTAGCTTCACATAGTTCACTGGAATTCTGCAAAGTACTCCAGCCTTGCTGAAGCTGTGTCAAAGGCTGACGGTTTGGCAATTATTGCTGTTTTGATGAAGGTGAGTTACAGATAGTTACACACCTCTGCCTATACTATTTCTTACCACCAATCAGGCCTCAAAGTAGGATGAAATAAGGGAACAGATATTTGAGCCTTTCTTTCTGGAAAGTTCCCATCCTACTGATGATTATAGTTGAACAAATATTTCCCTAGTACTTTGTCTCTTGGTTTTCTCTCTGCTTTTCCCTCTTAAGATAGAAATAAGTTTCAGGTGAGGGTGAAACAGGAAGATGTTCATTGGGGGAAAAGCAATTTTTATTGTCCAGCTCTTCCAGATTTCCTCTTCTCTAAATTTTCTATGTCATCTATTCAGGAATTTATCAATTCAATATTTCATCAGGGAAGAAATGTTAAAAGGATTTTTTTTCCCCATAAAGACAATTCAGTTGATTTTTTAAATGGCAGATGTTGCTCAAATTCTCTATAGAAGAATCCCTAAAAAGTTCTATAA